GAGGACACCTGATGTGACTTGAAAAATGATCACAAGCAAAATTATCATCCACTGAGCACAGTCGTGGACATTCTTAAGAAAGAAAGGGGAATTATGCTTGCAATTTTATATTATTCATCCAAAAGTCAGAGAGCTAGAATAGTGATTCCGAGCATTTGCTTCTAGCCAGTCAGTAATGAATGGCTGCCATTTTTTAATGCCTGCTATGTTATTCACTGAGTTAATCTCTCATGTTCAGTACATCCAATTGTCACAACCACTTTGCAAGGTAGGTCTTATCATTCCAATTTTATGGGTAAGACCCAGTAGAATTAAGTGACTTCCCCAAGGTGTTTCAGTTAATAAGTGGCAGAGCAGAAATTCACTATATGTCCACCTGATGCAAAGCCCAAACTTTTTCTACTATGCTACACCTGCATGTAACTTTGTCAGAACAGCTGTCCAGCTGGAAGCTTGAATGCCCAGTAGCCTCAGTATGATGTGGAACCATCAAAGATCTCGCTGCAAAGATTCTGACTCAGCCAAGCACTGTTCCCTTTGCATGTAGCCATCATAGCTATGTGGGAGGTAGGAACTATTGTCTTCATTTTACAGAGGAGAAAACTGGAGCACAGAATACATACAATTTATCCATGATGCTTAAGTGGCAAAGCGGGGCTTAAAACATGGCATTTAGCTATCTCAAGTTCTGATTTGCATTCCTTGGGCCTACAACCATTGACTAAAAAGGGCCATTTCTGCTTCACTTGGTAGACCACAGTACTTATGAATTTCAGAATTGTTTTTGTGAGCGATTTTATGATAACTAATGAGACACTGGCCATGAAATGAACCAGAAAACCAAATTCCAAGGCACTAAAGATTTACACAAAAACAAGTGGTCTTTATTCAGTAAAGGCTGCATTAAATAAAATACACATAAATATATCTTAAATGGAAAAAAAACCTTCAAAAGAAGCCATGTGCTTTTCTTTCTGTGACATGGAATTATGAAAAATAACTGTTACTTGAAAAAATTAAAGTTTAAGAAAAGCAACACTGTTCTACCAATGACAGAAAAATTATCATATGCTGTTAGGTCATCATGCAAACTGACCACTCAACTTTCTCTGAACACTTCCAGAAATTCACATCATCACAGTGTATATGTAGCCTTTGTAAAGATCAGAAGACAGAATTGATGTTAAGTGAAAATTTTCATTTTCAGTACTCTGCTTCATTTTCCTTATTGCTTTTATCATCTTAAACTGTGAGACTATCATCATTCTGAGCAGCTTTACTCTCCAAATTTGGAATATAATTACATTTAACTCAGTGCAGACAATGAGACACCTTTTTGTAAAAGAAAGAGGAGAAAGAGGAGTAAGGTTGGGGATGCCTGTTATTTCTCTGTCTCCTCTGGTGCTGTGTCAGTTTCTGACAACTTCTTCAAACTTCTAAGAAACCTACCCACCCCCCACCACCACCACACATGTGATCCTAAACTTAAACCAAGAAAGAAGCACCTAAATACTGTTATCTGTGTGGCTCTGTAGAATAGAAGTCTAAATAAATCCCACACATAGATTCAGGGCCACTGCTAGCTAAAGTGGTAGTTAATGATAATTGTTATCTAAGACTTGCCATCTTCAATTTAAGCATCGTCTCTCCCTTTTTCATGCCAAGTACCTATGTGGCATGTTCTGGCGGCAGGTGCCCTGAATTCAGAACATAGAGTCTCATTTTATAGGCAACAATCCATGCTCTGGTTTGGTATATTTTTTGTTTGTTTGTTTGTTTTTTGCTACCCTTTATAAAAAATTACTCATACTTGATCACATTCTCAGATTTAACTATCTTCTCCAAATGGAATGGAAGTTCTATAGGGACCTTTGTCTGCTTTTTTCACTGGGAGATCCCATGCACCTAGAATAGGGTCTGGCACATGGAATGAAAGAACAGATCCACCTGTGTCATTATGCCAATAACTACTACTGGCTTAAGTCAGAGTTTGCAGAGTGAGATGTGACCAACAGGAATGTACTTTTTGTCCTACCCAGTGTTTGAAACATTCTTTTTTAAGTTGAAAACATCATTCAAAAATCCTAGCTTCTCTGAAAAAGGTGGAATACCTGGTGACACTGGCAAGTGCCTTCCCTCCCTCACATGGGACCTGGCCTTCCCATTTCCCAGCCACTCCCTGTTGGCTTCCTCCACTGAGACTGAGTCCGTTCCAGTCCTGAGAAGCCTGGGATTAAATGTTGGAATATAAGGGTATTGCACTCAGCCTACAGTTGCCTTATTTGTTGGAGATGTTAGAATTTGCATATGTGACTCCAGTCTTTAAATTTTTTCCTCCCAGGTAATGTCTTTTTGTTTTGCTTGGAGCATTTTGAAGTCTTTAAAATGTATTAATAACATGCTTAGAAATTTCACACATTGTGGCAGAAGATGTATTTGAGGCTTGTCCAACTTCCGGGTCACACCGTGGAGGGGCCTACCTTTTCTTTCTGTACATAAACCCTTTACTTAGGAAAAACTGACATCTCTAAGTTCTCATTTTCCTGAGCAATTTTTTCCCTAAAACCCTCAGAGGTTTTTCTGTTTGCATTGCCTCCTGGTAATACCTCTTTTTACATCTGGATGTGGCTTTTCTCCTGAGTCACCATATTCATAGAGCCATTGCAAATTCTTAGGTAATGCTTAATTCAGTTTGGAAAGGATATTTCTTGTCACTAAGTTTGTATGCAATGACAACTTGACCACAGTTTACTTAACACAGAGCAAAAGCAGCCACTTAGAAACCATTTGGTGACAGAGAACAGCAAAGGTGCTTCAGGCAGGTCACTCTGGCCTGGGAAGAATCTTCCTCCTGTTGACCATGCCCGTGACTTAGAATCACTGGATAAGATCAAACCACTAGTTTATTTCACATTTTGCGGAACTTGGTGTAGCCTATGCAAGACATGGGTCATTTGTCTGTATCTGATTGGCTAAGAACCAGTCTAATTCACAGAGGTTCCTGCTAGGAGGATGGGGTGGAAATTACATGGCAAAAGATGGCCATAACTGTGACTTGACCTAAAATGCTGTAGTTATCAAACCTAAATCACTTTAATGTAAAAAAAGAAATCATTTTTGTTAGATGAAATATATTGGACTTAGAGAATATAGCATACAACTTTATCTTCACCATCTTCTTTAGCCTATGTTCATATTCTAAATATGAAGTTTTATGTTTAGGAAACCTAGTATCTCTCGTTTTTCAACAACCTATATCCAATATATACATTCTTAAGCTAAAATAACTTATTTCATATGCAGGCCATTTCCATGTTTAAGGCACAACCGAAAACAAGCCAGGTGAAGTTGCTTCTTTCCTGGAGCTTACATTCAGTTGTCGTATAATAAACAAATGAGTAAACAAATTAGTCTGTCGAGCTGATAAAGGCTATGAGGGGAAAAGATAACAGGAGGAAGTAGGGGATGGGAGGGGAGCATGTGTGAGGAGGGATGATCTTCTTTTAGTGAGGTCAGAGAAGGTGATGCTTGGGTTGAGACCTGTTGGAGGGAGGGAGGCAGTCGCCCAGAGGCAGTGGGCAGGGTGTCGGTGGACGGGGTGTCCTGGGAGGAGGAAGGGTAGGTGCACCTGCTCAGTGCACTCAAGCATCAGCAAGGCACCAGCTGGCTTGGAAAGGAATGAGTGTGGAGAGGAAAAGGTGATGTCATAAAGGAGCCAGGGAGCAGACTTGCAGGGCCTTCAGGGACATTGTGAGGACTTTAAAGATTATGTCAGGGGTGATGGCAAGCAGTTGGAAGCTTTTGAGCACAGGAGTAACTTGATAAAATTTATATTTTAAAATCAATTGTGACATTAAGGATGATGAGGTACTAGGAATACCTGTTATGCCATTTGTTGAGCATATGTTTTGTACTAAGCACTTTACATGGATTATCTCATTTAATCTTTCTAATGCACAATTATACATAACATGTATGATGTACTACAATTCATTTATGTACTATGAGAGTGCTCACTGTGGCTGTTCTCAGAGGACACATGAGGCAGTAACTACATAGTGGACCATGAGTGACTCACCCACAGTCACACAGGTAGTATATGGCAGAGCCAGGCTTCATAAAATGGTGATATTTTAAAATCCTTTACTACCTTCCATGGAGTATCCCATACCCTAGATAAAATGATTTTTTTGTCATACATTTTACGTCATTGTAGCCTTAAACAAAAGGAATCTAAGGTTCATAGAAATTATGGCACCTATTTTTCTAGACATTTGTAAACTATAAGAGTGGTATGTATTATCATATATAATAATATCTCCTGATGAGAAAGCAGAATGTGTAAAAGAACCATCCCAAAATAAAACCTCCAAATTAAATAGACCCTACAGAGCACAGGTTCCTAACCTGCAAATTCAGAATTGTAACTCAGTTTCACTGATTTCCTTAGTAATCTTAAGTATTTTTTTCAATGCATTTAAAAACATTCTGAGAAAGGAAACCATAGGCTTTTCCAGATTGTCAAACGGGGCTATGGGTAGAGAGAGTATGTGCAAGGATTCAATGGATCTGTTTGAATCTGAGCAGAACTTCTAATAGTACTGGGTTTATTATGTTTGGGGGTAGGGAGTACTGAGCCCATACCAAGGCTCACAAAGAGGCCAACCATAGCCGGGGGGGCCATGTGGACCAACCTGGCCAGGTTTGTTCCAATCTATGCTTTTGTCCAGGTGTGGTTTCATATTGCCCCCTTTCACTCTCCCAAGTGTCCCACAAGAATGGAAATTACATGCCCCCCCACTAGCTTTAGCTATTATCAAGAAAGCAGTGGTGGTAGAGGTAGTGAATTGCATGCCTTTTCTGGGTCCAGGTAGGGGCTGCTAACCCCTGTACCTGGACTTATTTCAGTAACAAATGGGTATAATCAAAGTTAGAATATTATGCAAAAAAATATGCTGGAGGAAAATTCCATTTTAACCATAATTATTTCTCTATTACAGCCAAAAAAGAGCATAACATGGAAGAAAGTCACTTGGAGAATGCACAGAAAAGGTAAGCTGCTCTGATTTGGCCCCAATTCTTTCTATGACTAGCCATTTTATTATTATTATTATTATTATTATTAAAGCACACTCCACTTGCTCTGTAGCCACAACCACTATCCATTTCCTGAAAGTTTTAATTTTCTCCAAAGGTACCTTGGTACCCATTAAACCCTGACTTCCCCATTTTCCTTCCCCAGCCCTTCCTACTCTCTGTCTTTGTGACTTTGACTACTCTAGTTAGCTCATATGAGTGGAATCATACAGTACTTTTCCTTTTATGACTGACTTATTTCACTTAGCATGATGTCTGACTAGTCAGTCATTCTTTTGGCCCCGTTTGTTAAGACTGCTTTCAAGAACAGTAACAATCCTCAGAGAACTGGAATGAAAGCACTGTAACAGGACTTGGGAATAGTTTTCCTCAAGAAGCAAGAGATTAAAAAAACAAACAAACAAAAAAAGCAGGAGATCATCCAGAAGTGACTCACCTGCCTCACATGTCATGACACTATTTTTGTCTGTTTGCCTCTCCTCCATCACTCTGCTCCTCAACCACTTCATGGAAGTTAGGAACAATGTGATCCTTCTTAGTATTACAGCTAGGTTAAACCAGTTATTACAAACCCCTTAGAGACTCATTATGTCTTTCTTTCAATCCTAGAGCATATCTTGGGGGGAAGGGGAATGACTATGTATGGAAAACTCCCCCAGAATTCATGAGAAACTTCAGAGGTCTTCTAGTCACCTCTCCCCTGCCTCAAACCTCTTGTTGGCCCTTTTCTCTCTGAACAGACATCAGAGTGGGAGAGGCCAATAGTCACCGCCTGTGATCCCTCATAGGGGTTTTGTCTTAGTTGATCAAGTTAGTCAGTCTGGCTCTCCCGCCCTCATAGAAGGGGGAGTGGGGATATACTGAAGCATCCCCATTGTCAACGAAAAGAATCGAGATAAATTTTGCTGGTGCAATTCTAAAAGTACTAGAAATTAAATAAGAGATAAGCACAGGAAACACCATGTTTGGAAAAATGAGCTTTACAAGTGTGTGAAGAGAAGAGTTAGTCTATTAAATGCAAATGAACAAACTCTAGAAATGCACCCTCTTCCTCCCAAGAGTTCTGAAAGCCCAAAGACAGTACCGTCTGCTTCACTTTGACAGGTACCAGCATCTTGCCCTGCTTTGCACTGTAATTGCCACTAAAATTAAAATGCAGATAAAAGCAAGATTAGGGCAAATCCTGCATTTTTCTAAGTGCAGACATGTTCTTGAATTGTGATTATCATCTTCACACGATAATCTCTGAAAACCAAGACAGTCCTGTGGTTGTGGTTTTAGATTTTTGTGCCTCTTTATTGGCCTTATCCCTGGAGTGAGTGTCCCTTCTTTGGTGTGTAAAAGGAGTATGTCTATGTTATAGGAATTGTCAGCATGGGGTGGATGTCAAATTTCTAATTCTTCTTCAAGATTCTTGGGTAAGGAAAAAGGGGCCCACCTTAGAGGGGCCGAAGCTGCTGCTGTGCATTAGCCATGCTGAGGGGGTCATAAATTCCAGTTGTCAGCGTTTTCCGTGACTTTGTGGTGAAGGTAGTCTCGCTTTCATGTCATTCATGAAATATGTCCGATCCCATCTTTAATGTAGAAACCACAGTTGTTTGGTTATACTCTTTAAGGAGGTTGGTGGTCAGTGTTGCAATATTTGTGTGAGATTTAGGAAATTCTTCTGTTTTATTCTCAAGAGAAACAATTTACTCTGAGGCAAAGGAGTATTTGCTTTTCCTAAGCAGTTTCTGAAGGCACGCATGTAAAACAATAAGTGGATGTGCTCCACTCTGGCCTCTCAACACTGTAAAAGTAAAACCATTCAGTTGGCCACGGGCTCTTTGATATAATTGTTGCCTGTGCTTTAAAATGTTTATCTGAATTGAAAAGACGCAAATCAGACAATGAATTGTAGTGGGGAGAAAAGGAGTCAGGGAATAGTTTAGGGTGAAGTGAAAAACTTTTGTGAAACATAACGCGATCAGAAATCCATCAACTTTTAGAAGTTGAAAGCTAATTTAGAGTCATCCACTGACAAATAGGTGTTTCAAAAAGCATGATCGCCCCTTTATCTATTGGAGAAAACTCTCCTGCTGTTAAATATTGATTAATTTTCATGCTCAAACTTCAGAAGGTTTTCAACTATCAGCCTTCTGATGTTGAGTGAATCAGAATTAAATTTGAAAGGAAGAGAGTTTTGTTTGGGGAGGACAGTAATCTAGACTTTATCAGATAGACTAGCTTTTAGCTTTTCCTCAAACAAGAGAAAAGCACGGAAATCAAATAAGGCACATCCTCAGAGCAGCGTCCTTTCTGTCACCATTGCAGGATGCCAAAGCCAGGGCCCTCTCTGGGACTCTCTTCACTTTGGTTCTTCTGAAGAGGTTTGCTTGCCTTCTTAGTTTCCAAAACACACGGGGGGCGGGGGGGGGGGGCGGGGAATGCTGAAGTTATGTCTTTCCTTTAGTTTTCATCCACTTTGAGAGTTAGTAAGCAGGACCTTGCAGCTCCCCACAGGGACAGGTGGTGAGGGTGCATGGTTAGCTTCAATTTAGAGTTGGGCAGAGTGAGACCCGCAGGATGATGACATGCTTTTCGCAAGCTTGGTGATGACCCACCAAATAATGCTGTTATTCTCTGAACCCGCACCAGTATTGGCAATATCTCGGTCTCACAGTCCAGACTCCAACGGCCAGGGGTGTTCGGGTGATCCAAGAGGCACAGTGACAGGGGCTTCTGCTGTCCTCCTCATATCCTACTGGAAAGTAGGGGGCCATTTGTGTCTGAAGACTCAAAGTGAAAGACTTTCTCCTCTCTATTAATTCATAAATTAGTATGATTCTGTATAGAAGGTGAGCATAAGGAAGAGAAAAAATAACTATGTGCTCTGCTGGGAGTAATGTACATTATATATGATACAGGGGCAACTGTGTCTAAAGTGGAAACAGAAAAAAATAGCTTTTATTTCTTACATGCCCGTGTCAGTGAGCTTCAGCCACAGAAACATAGAGAGGAAAAAGCATTTCCCTGAGAATCAGGAGACCAAGATAGAGGCGCAGTGTGACAATACATGGTGACATTCAGTCTTTCCAGATCTGTTTTCTCATCTGTAAAATGAGAATTTTGGACTAGTTGGGCTATAAGTCCCTTCCAATTCTAAATCCCCAGGACTCTGAGAAAATCATGGCCTGTTCCTATAGGTTGCATTTCACTTATGTATTTCCATGCTACAGTAAGTTTGACTTTCATTTTGAAGGAAATAAAACTCTATGCCATAAAGTATACATTATTTTTTCAGTGTTTTGTCAGCCACAGAATTAGAAGTCCTGTCTGGGTGAAAGTGGACGGTGCTACTTTCTTCCATTGCTGGCTTTGCACCAAAATATGTATGTTTGGTATTAGAAGAGAGTCCCTTAAGAAATTACTACAGTTATTGCCTTTCTCCACTTATACACTTCCAGTCTTTTAATAACTGGGAACCAAAATTCCCTGACCAGTAGTTTTAATTTGCATTAAAAACAGATTTATTATTTACAGAAGCACAAAGAATTTATGGGACTCAGAGCTGCAGCTCTAGCTTGGATCTCGCCTAATCATAGCCATGGAATCAATTAACAGTTCATCTGTGAAATGTGATAAAATCTTATGAGATACATATTGGGCAATAACTGAGAATGAGATGAAAGTATGCTCCATAATAGTAACGGGGCTTCAGGGTTTTACAATCGCCATTGAATAGAGTTCCATTAGGAACTCAGTTTTCAGGATGGCCACAAAAAAATGCTGTGTCTGAACAGATGATAGAGCGTTGAGTAGTAATAAACCCGGCCAGCCATTCCTGCTTTGATTAGTTTCCAACACCCTAGAAAAGGGAGCCATTTATTTAAGTGTTCTTGCTCATGGCAAATGAGCTTGTGGGGCTTGGTGTGGGTGGGGGTGGGTGGGTAGAAAGATTGAGTGCAGAGCTATAAATTGCTGCAAAGCTAGTGCCTCCAAGAAGGGCTGCTTGGGAGGCCCAGGTAGTCTGGTGTGCAGTGAGCCTCCACGGTGTAGATCGGGAGGTTCCTAGTGATATCTCTCAATCTGCTTTGTAAAACTTTGGACCAGGCTGGAGTTCATCCAGTAAGATCAAAGGTGATTTTCTATCCAAATCTTGCAATGCCCTCAACATACATATATATATACACACACATATACATATACATAGATATATTCTTATATCATATAAAGTTATAAAGCATAGCCTTCTTAAAATCATAGAGGCTCAGTCTCCTATTTTACCCTTGAGAAAATTGAGTCAGATACTGAGTGATTGACCCCAGATTACAAAGCTAACAGATGCCAGAATAAAGATAGAACAGTTTTGATTTTCCATGAAACACCAACAGATTAATTATTCCCTATGGGCTTTCCAACTGACCACTGCTAATGCTACAGAATCATTATGTCATCAGTGTTCCATGTCATCATTAAACTTCAAATGAAGGGCAGGTACATGACATAGATTTAAGACAACGAGCAAAGTCAAAAAGTTGTACCCTACACACCCCCTGGAGTTATGCTTGCTGGTTTTTACATGGATACGTTATATGCAGGAGTATAACCGGTCAAGTTGAATTTCTTGGAAAATGGATTAGAGCAAATAGGTTTTCTGGGGTTTAGGATAAGCCACAGTAACTCTGAGACAGAGAATGGACAAGTGGGAAGCCGCCCCCAGCGCCCCCTCTTCACACCCTAATGAGTTTTAGTGTTGACAGCTTCTCACCCTGTACCTCACTCTGTTTTTCCCCCTGCCTGTTGCAGTTTTGAAACGACAGTGGGATATTTTGGGATGAAGCCAAAGTCTGGGGAGAAGGAGATCACTCCCAACTACGTGTTTATGGTGTGGTATGAGTTCTGCAGTGACTTTAAGACGATCTGGAAACGGGAGAGTAAAAACATATCTAAAGAAAGGTAAGGTTCGAACAGGGTCATGAATACCCCCTTTGGGAGTCTAGGAAACTGCCTTCTCCAACCTAACAAAGTGGACACATTTCGCACGTGTCAGTGTCGTCTTTCAGGCCAAGTGGACATGAGGACGGATTATTGCTTCAGGGCTCTTAGGGAAATTCGGGAGAGGCTTGCTGTCCACACAAGCAGATATACTCACGTGGTCTGATAAGTTACACTTTCTTAACCCCTTCCAATTACTAGCTAGTAAATGAAAGGGGAGCTGTGCTAATTTGCAACAGATTGCTTCTCTGTGTATTTTCATGTTGGCCCAGGCTAAATGAGGCAGCCGTGCTGTCGCAGACAGTACAAATAAAAGTGAATGCTTTTCCCATTAATATACTGAACTTGCATCAAAGGGAAATCTCTGAGACTCAGGCCACACTTAACACAGTGTTGAAGCCCCGCTCTGGATTTACAGCGCCACTTCTGACTCCTCGTATCCTGCTGAGGACATCAAACTGCCTGCCGCTCAGCCTCATTGCAGCCTCCTGATTTTATTAGTTGGGGGTAGAAGAAAAACCTCAGCTCTGAATACAGGGAGAGTGTGTGTGTGTTCATTCTTAGAAAGAGACTGAATTTGGCCCTGGTTATCAGAAAAAAGCATTTGTACTTGATCACTATTTTGATCAGATTGCCACTGCTCCACAAAGGGTATCAACTTCAAACAAGTCTCGTCAATACCCCTGCAGAACAGATGTATAAGAGTGTCATTCAAACTGGAGTAGAAGGAGTCAAAAAAAAAATTCTACAAATTAAGGGAAATGGTTTATTGAATTATAGCATCTATACGTCACTCAACACTGAGACCTAAAATGCCTTAGTTCAGTACTCTGTAATCAGAGAAAAGGTATGTGCAGAATACATATATACAATACACTAATAATATTTCACCTAAAAAAACTATTTTTTTAAAAGTGATAAAAATTTAGAGATTTTTATCCAGTATTACTGAGTATCTAAATGTTTTCTTGGGGAATCTTTTCAAAAGCCTGCTTTCTTTCTAAGGAAGTGGAAGAGCTTTAAAAATGTTCATCAACATATCTTTCCACTGTTACCTCTTTGGGAATAGTGAATACATCCATTATATAGAGAAATTGAAACAGAGAAATAGTTGTGACATTTTTAAGAAAACAGATCATTGATAATAACATTAAAAAAAATCCTAAAAATCTTGACACCCAACTCATTTGCTTTGGCCCTGCTACTGCTTATTTAACCCTTTCAACTTCTGTGAAATACATTCTATTTTGTGAGTTTCATAGGACAGTGATAGCTCCATGCTCCTCTCCCTCTCCACACGCCACACCTGATGGCCGGGAAACCAAGCAGTGGGCTCAGAATGCATAGCCTTCGCTTAAGATTTTGCACCTTACATTTTGAGCGTAGTCCTTAGTGAATTTGTCCTTGAGATTAGAGCCCTAAAACTGGTCCAAAAAACAAAACAACAACAAAAAAAAACAACAGAGAGGGTAATTAATTGCTTTTCATTGTAATCATCTTCTGTTGAAATATTCAAATATATTCCAAATGAAAGAGATTTTTTCCCTACCACCAAGGTTGCACCAGATAAATTGGGGGTCCGCAGTGGTGGTGGCCTCCTTTAAAATGACATGTCCTCGGATTCCTAGTCATAGGCATTTGCAGCGCTGCTTCCTGGGTGCAGCTGGTGAATTGCCCACTTCACACTCTGTAAACCAACACCTTTAAAGGGTCATGACTTCACAGGACCCTTTTCAGTTCTTTTCATTGAGTGATTTCAGGGGTCTCCTCATTCCAGCTGCTTTGCGAGATGGATCACCGGCATTTCCAACCTAAAACAACAACATCTCTGAAAGTTAATGGCGGCTCATAAAATATTTTTGGAAGCAGCTTGTTTACAAAAATCTATTTACTAAGAAACATTAGCACATTATGTTTATTACTGCTCAGCCAGTTAAACACATTGATTAATAGCCCAGATTTTCTTATGAAGTAAGGATTTTTTATAATTGTCCTCTGCCTTCTAAGGGTTTTAGATTTTCAACTGTTGGAGCCATGTTAAAATTATGGTAAAATAAGCAAATTAACTTCAATTCTTCTATTGTAATTTAAAATGAGAAGCAATATGATTACTTTGTTTTGATACCCAATTAATTATGCTTGACATTATCATTTTTTAATTACACTATTTCCAGAAATCCGATGAATCCCAACAACATTGAACTCAGGGGCAGCAACATGACTAGCACAAAGCCAGCCTCAAAAATAAAACTCACATGAAAACACAATGGCTTATAATTATGAGGAAAAAAGAAGGCAATCGTTTGGATCTTATCAGAAGAAATTTCACCTGCTTGATTTTTAGACATTTGAAGCCCAATAAAACAGGCATTGGAAAAAAATAACTATCAGTACTAGTATTTTCAAAAAGATAGGTTGACTTCTAAATGAAATGGAAGTATTGAAAACTACCTTAAGCCACTTGAGGTCGATTTTAGATTGTTTACTTCTTGGTCTGCTTAGTATGGTTTCATGAATAAACATTAGCTTGATGCAAAATTGATTGATGCAGCTACATAGCAGTGTAACAAACTGCCCCTCATGAAACCTAGAACAATCTCTAAACACTCAAGTGACTTTATAAAAGTGCACAGTGTTCTTGTGCATGAATGATAAACCCTACCACCAAGCTAGTGTCAGGGCATGGTGCTGTGTTTGTGTAGAAGAAACTTGGGATTTCACTGGTGATATGCTTTACCTGCAGATTAGCTATATCCAGTAGAAGAGCATGCTACTGTATAACAGTATATTGCTGGAATAACATTTTCCTTGTCGTGTAAGCCAATATTAGGCAAAGTAGCAAATTTCTGTGTCCAGGACCAAGTGCAGCATGCCCCATTCCCCAGATCCCCTTTCTGTGACCCGCCCAGTCCTCACACCACCCCTCATGCTCATCCTCTAGGGAAATGTACCAGGCCCTTTTCTCACCCCTCCTGAGTACAGGCAGTGAGTGCTCAGCAGTGTGAAATGACCTCTAGATAGCGAGTTAGAAACCAGCATTTTTATGCCATTAGTATGCTATGTGATCTTTAGTCAGTCACTTCTTATTATTACCTGGGGAGCCCAATGACCCATCATTTCTGTGAAATGTACACATTGGAAGGAAGTAGGAACTAAATGTTTATGATGGTCTCTTCTAGCTTGAAATCTCTGTAAATCTAGAAACTACTTTTTTAATGTTCTGGAAAACTGTATTTTATTTCTGAAACACTCTTTACCTTTAGTCTTGAGCTTATTAGAGACAACATTAGAAGACGTTTCAAGCCAATATCTGGCAGGGAGCGGGTGGAGATTTGGGGCAGGGAGAGTTTTCATTGCCCTCTTGGAACTGGTAAATGTCTACAGCCACCTTGCCTTACACCCCCAGTTCTTCCCCCAAAATACTAATGTTGGTCTTAAAGACCTCATTTTCTTACTGAAAGTATACATGCAAAAAAATACTTTCCTGTGTTTATCTGCATCCAACATTGCATTTCGTGGCTTATTAAAGTTCATTGAGACTTTTATTCTCAGGAACAGCTTTGCCTCAATGTTACCTTTTCATGCACTTTTGTATTTGTGCCCCTTGGTATGCAACCATTCGATGAATTTTTGGTAATACACATTTCTTCTGCCTATTAAACCAGCAGATTATTCAACCACATGCATAATTGCAAAAGAGTAACCTAATTTTTGTTGCTATTACTGTTCTTTACTCATTTTTTGCTCCCCCCCTGTTTAATTGCCCTGGGGTATAGGACCCTTCCTTATGAAATATTCCACCATTTAGGATATCCTAAGATGATTTCCCACATATGACCACACAGGCATACATACAGGCCACAAACCACTACCACCCACAAAATGAGCTACGAATTTGCCAAAAGGTAAAGAAGTCCCAGAGGAGTCATGACTCCAGGAATAAAGTCTTAGCAAATAATTCACCCCATGCCAAAGCAAACTTTAAAAGTACCATTTAAAAAAACCCATAATGGGTAAGTAATGAGTCAATAAGGAGTGTGGTAAATTTTATGTGAAATGCAAATAAGAAATTTTATTATACACATAGCTATAATTTACACCATTTTTTTTGTTGTTGTTCAGCTAAACACCAACAGGGTTTTGTTTTCAGTATATTATTTGCAGCTATTATGGTTAATTATGCAACTGCCATACCCTTGACAGCAGATAGTTCAGAGCTGGTGTGGGGTTGTCCCAAAGCTGTTCTCAAAGCTCCCTCTTACTCAGGTCACTTTAGGAGCAGGAGTTGGGGACTTGGAGAGACCATCAGTCAACCCACAAAGGGGCCATTGATTGCAGTGTACATGGTGTAGGAATTCCGCTATTTATATGAGAAAGTTATTCCTGGAAGCAGTGCCATGAACTAAAATTTTTACTTTTTGAAATCTGCTTTCCTGCTGATATCCATACATGATCATCACAGTAACTTCTAACAAGTCAACTTTGTTTTTCTTTGCCCTCTGTTATGTGACTAAATGGTTTGTGTACATTTAACTGCTAAGAAGCTTCATATTTTAAGGGATCCCTTTACTAATACAAATCACCCTCTAGTTGACTGGCACAACTTTGAATTTTTCTAAGTCACATTTTGAAGGCTGTTCTGTACAAATCCAGAAACAGTAAATGTCCCAAAGGGCTAACTTATAAACATAATTATCATAATCATGAAAAATAAAACCTGCTTATTTCCTAAGCAACAAATTTTAAGCTACTTCTGAAACATTACAGCTGTGCTGTGAATCAGGAAAGGAGATAGTGGACTTTAAAATGGTAAGAATTATAAAGTCATTGACTTAAAAAGAAAAAAATTAAAACACCTCTTTTGAGTTTCTTTCCTTTGGAAACTATTGTTCCCTTTTAGCTTCTTCTTCCTTTTTAATCCTCATCCGAGGATATATTTATTGGTTTTAGAGAAAGAGGAA